TAACGCGCAGGAAGGGGCTCGGTCGACAATCTAGTCGTCGAAATGAGAAAACGCGTCAGGCGGGCTCTCCGGTCCCCACCACAACAAAGGACCGAAAACACCCGCCCGACGCGCCGGAGAACGTCAGTTACTCGCCCGCCTCGCGGGGAAGTGTGCGATGTACGCGTCGCAAATCTCGTTGAACGTCAAACCACGCAGCGCCGAGAATCGCGTCGATGGCTTGCTGAGCCTCGCCAACGGCGCCGCCTCGCCGCTCGCATTGTTGCCGCCGACGACCTTGGTGATGGCGCCGTCGATAATCCGATTGGTCGTGCCGGCTTCGGTGGCGGAAGTCTTGTCCAAGCCATAGGGGAGGATGTACTTCGGCGTCTCGCGCTTGGGCGGGTCCGTCTTCTTAGGCTTTGCCTTTCTAAACGCCGCTTGTCTCGCAAATCGAATCTTCATTTCATGGGTTCCATGCAGGGGGAAGAAAGAAAGAAGGGGCTTGGACGGTCGCACCGTTCGTTGCAGCCGGATGGGGTTCACATATCGGCGCCTCAAATCAACGCCGCCGCTGCAACGCCAAGCCCCCGACAGTGACTAAACCGCCGCAGCCGCCCGCTCTGCGATTCGACGAACCGCCACCCGCGATTCCTCGAGACGCCGCTTGCTTGTAGTCGACGCCTCGACAGCCGCGTTGTAGCGCACTCTGGCGTCATGCTCGGCAGCAGCAGCCGTGCGAACGGGCGCCGCTAGTTTCGCAATCGCCTCTTGTTGCCGCTGGGCAGCCTGCGCGTTGTTGCTGCCCGCCATCATCGACGCGGGACCGAGCCCCAGGCGGTCGAGCCCCTCGAGCGTCGCGTGTAGCGCATCGGTGTAGGTCGCCGCAGCCGTCTCGAGGTGCGGCGCCAGGTCGTCCGCCATCGCCTGCGCGAGTTGACCGCGCTGAAGCCACAGCCGACAAACCTCCTGGTGCAGCCGCAGCCGCTCGCCACGCCGTAGGTCGATAGCGTCCCCCAGCTCGAAACCGCTGGTGTCGACGCTAACGTCGGCGGCGGTGTCGACGGCGCGCTTGACGTAGTCGTCAACCGTGGCGATTGCCTCCGTCAGCGCGTTGGCTTGTTCGTTGTGCTTGTCGACCGCGCTTGCGGTCGTCTTGCTGATGCCGGGGTAGGTCGGCAGCGCGACGCCGCGCGACAATTCCAGCAGGTCGGGGATCCGTGTGAACATCTTCTCATTCCTTTAGTGGTTAGCCGGTGTACCCGGCAGGGACAAACTTTCAGCCATCGCCAAACCGGCGTCGGTGATTTTGATAAAGGTCGTTCGCCCGCCCTCGTAGACCGGTAGCTTCTCGATGTAGCCGAGTTGCTCGAGCCGTTGCAGTGCTCGGCTCGCACGAACTCGACCGGCGCCGCTCCGCACGTCTTGCTGCGTCCAACTAGCGATGTCGAGGCGCACCACGCTGTCAGCGGTACAGCGAAGCGCCCTCCGAAACCGAGCCGCACGGCGCCGGTCGGTCGTGGGGCTCGAGGTGTCCGCAGGGGTGCTCTGTAAGTGCAGGAGGGCGCCGTGTGCGCCGCGTAGGACGTCGGCTTGTAGGCTGTCGTGTGTCATTGCGCTGTAACAAGGTGAGGGAGTGGCACTATCTGGTAGTTCCTTTGTCTCTGAGGGAGGGGCCCCCTCAGGAAGTACCTTTGCCATAGGGGGGGGCGCCTTCCCGCCGTCG